CATTCGGAACGGCGGCAAAAAACAAACGTGAGTAACATCTTCTGACAAGACATGCAAAACACAGCAGCATCGTCACATCATGCTGATTTACCAGCACGAAAATAGAGGCGGGATTTATCTCACAAACTAATCTTATCCAATCACAGCGTGATGGAGGCTTTAGGTGAGATCAACTATATATGAAGAGTTCAGATGCAAAAGCCTCTAAATGCCATTTAAATCATTTTTATCAAGCTTGTATATTTAAGTTCAGTGATTTCACTTAAATGGCAATGATAATTACCTATTATTGTTATTTAAGTGAAATTACTGAACTTAAATATACAAGTTTGATAAAAATCATCATTAAAGAAGAAAATTTCAAATGGCATTTAGAGGCTTTTGCATCTGCACTCTTCATATATATATATACACACACAATAAAGAACATCTTCGAATAAGTTCACCAAGGCTGCCTTTTATTAGATAAAAAATACAGTAAAACTGCGACATTGTGAAATATTGCAACAAAATATTTTATTAATATAATACATATTAATTTTTATATGAAACCATGGTAGATTTTCTCAAAATAGAAATATTTTGTAGTTTTAAAAAAATGTCTTAACTATTACACACACACACACTACTGTTAAAAAAACGTGGGACTGGTAAAAGAACATCTTCAAATAAGTTCACCAAGGCTGCCTTTATTAGATCAAAAATACAGTAAAACTGCGATATGGTGAAATATTGCAACAAAATATTTTATTAATATAACACATGAAACCATGGTAGATTTTCTCCTCGGGATTTTTGACGAGTAAAAGTTCAAACAGCATTTATTTTAAATAGAATGTAGGGATTTCTTGGACAATTTAGTGTTTCCTTGCAGATGTTTTCCTTCTTTAAAAAATATATCTCTGACCGACCCAAAACTTTAGAACGGTATAGTGGATATATGATGTAGATATAGCAAAATTGAAAACACTATGAACAAAGATTTAATTTCAGCATGGTCCGTTTTAAAGACTGGATTTGAACAACAAACTGAGACTGTGTGCAGCGAGAGAGATGCCTTCAATGCCTGTAAGACGCGAGGCAGCTGTACTGACTGAAAGCGTTTGAGAGAATGAATAGCCTAGTGATTGCCCTCTGCTGCCCTCCTTCATAATATCAACCACCTCTTGCTCTTTTCTGCTGACTCTGGTGGGTTTCTGGGGGTTCGGGACACTGCTCTAGTAAAATTCATTCTTCTGTAGTGTGTCTGCCTATCTCTCTCTCTCGCTCTCTCTCTCTCCTTTGGCATCTCAGTGTCATGCAAAACTTATATCAGATGGTTGTGGCTAAAACGGATTTAGCAGGTTCAAGCTGACTTGTCTCATTTTTTAATGTTAAAATGCATTCTCCAATCCCAGCTAAATGTGAAGAAGCGTATCTGAATATTGATTCCACTTAAACCCCAGATATCTTCTTAACAAATGGCACGAAATCTCTGTTTGTATCTCTTATAGTATCTGTTTATTTAACCAACTGCAAAGCTCTAACAACCATGACAGCTCATCATCAGTCAAGTAAGGTATACAATTTATTATGCTAATATTTGACTGCAAATGTAACCACTGACCAATCACATTCAAGTATTCCACAGAATCAGGTAAGCATATATACGACACATTATTGATCAATACAGTCATTTAGTCAGGAAAAGCCTCTCTTTCAGTGCTATGCCTTATTCTGTGGATGGCAGTTTAATGTAACATCACAAACAAAGCTGAAAGTGTTTCCTTACTGTAAAAAATATTTGTTATCACAACATATTTTCTTTAGTCAAATCAACTTTATAATAATTTATTTAGTTGAGATAACTTATTATTTTGAGTTTCTGATGGTTAAATTAATCTCCTTCATTGTATTAACTCACTTTTTCCAGTTCAATCAACTTAAAATTAAGGCAACCCATGGTTACTTACTTTTTTAAGTTAAACCCTCAATATTTTTTTACAATGAAATCATAACATTTTTTCTGTTGTCAAATCAACTTAAATAATTTATTTAGTTCAGATAACATATAATTTTGAGTTTCTGATGGTTAAATTAATCTCTTTCATTGTATTAACTCACTTTTTCCAGTTCAATGAACTTAAAATTTTAAGGCAACCCAGGTTACTTACTTTTTTAAGTTAAACCATCAATATTTTTTTACAGTGTATGTATATAACAAATACTATGGAAGTCAATGGGACCAGAAACTGTCTGGTTACTGATATTCTTCTAAATATCAGAAAATCGACTGAATAAATTTGAAAACGGTAAAACTCAACTGTTTAACTCTGGGAGAGTTGTAAAATGAGCCTATTTCCAAAAAAAGTGGAGTATCCCTTTAAGTGGCCAATTACGGCACAACAGCATATGGCAGATAACCATTTCAGTCATACATGTATTAAAGGCATAGGTTGCCAGTGCATTGCGAGTGTAATTCAAAGGATTCCTATTAAAAGGACAGCTCACCTTAAAAGAAAAAATCTGTCATGATAAACTCATTCACATCCAATTTTAAAAGTAGTAAATTGACAGGCCATACTGGTTTTGATGTCACCATCACCAAACGCCGATGGAAAACTGATGAGACAATGCATGCGTCTTTGAATACGCTGTATAAAGGATGAGCTTTCAGAGCTAAAACAGAGTGGGAAACTATAATTAAATAATGAATTAAACTGTACGGCTTTAAAATTCATAATGACTACTGTATGAATAAAATACAGTGGGAAAAACAACATACAGATTTGTATTGTTGGCATGAACTTTTCCTTTAAACCCTGGCAAGGGCCTAGTGTGCAACCCTTCTGTGTCCTTGAACACATTTTCTGAAATGCCCACTCACTTTCATTCGGATTACTGCAGAGAGAGACCCTCTGTAACCTTTCTCGCCCCCAATTGCAGCCACACACACACACACACACATGCTGTCAGAGTGTCAGTGAAGTGAACTTGCACTCAGGTCTCATTACCTCCCACACACACCCCACTGTGTGATGCTGTAATCTGACAGTATGAAGGATGCTTCAAAGACACAGAAAAATCGACTTTAACGCAATACATGCAGTAAGCTCCCCGAAAACCCTCAGAAAACAGCTCAGCGGGTACTCTGACAAAATACAAACGCCACCAAATAGACAGAACAGAATTATGTTAGTAAATGACAAAAAAAAAACCTGCATCTTAGGCAAAAAAATGTCATGTAAGCTAAAATGTGCCAACATTATTGTTTTCCTAAATCAATACATTAATTATAATGACTGAATCAGTATACAAGGTTACATTTATAGTCATTTGTGAGGCTTGCTAAGATAAATTACTCCAATGAAATATAGTTTATTCATTAAGTTTATTCATTAACTATGGCCCACGACTCTAGCGTTCCCTAAGGACAAGCGGATGGCCGTTTGATGGATGGATGGATGGGTGGATTTTTGCAGTTTAACTCACACATTTATTTGATACACTGTTAGACCTTACCAGGTTTTTTACAGTAAAATACTGCCAACACTGTTGCCAGTAATTTACTGTAAAAATGCACTAAAACTAATAAGTTGTATTTTTTAGTTAACTTGAGTTTTAGTGCATTTTTACAGTAAATTACTGGCAGCAGTGTTGTAAAAATGCACTAAAACTAATAAGTTGTATTTTTTAGTTAACTTGAGTTTTAGTGCATTTTTACAGTAAATTACTGGCAACAGCGTTGTAAAAATGCACTAAAACTAATAAGTTGTATTTTTTAGTTAACTTGAGTTTTAGTGCATTTTTACAGTAAATTACTGGCAACAGTGTTGTAAAAATGCACTAAAACTAATAAGTTGTATTTTTTAGTTAACTTGAGTTTTAGTGCATTTTTACAGTAAATTACTGGCAACAGTGTTGTAAAAATGCACTAAAACTAATAAGTTGTATTTTTTAGTTAACTTGAGTTTTAGTGCATTTTACAGTAAATTACTGGCAACAGTGTTGTAAAAATGCACTAAAACTAATAAGTTGTATTTTTTAGTTAACTTGAGTTTTAGTGCATTTTTACAGTAAATTACTGGCAACAGTGTTGTAAAAATGCACTAAAACTAATAAGTTGTATTTTTTTAGTTAACTTGAGTTTTAGTGCATTTTTACAGTAAATCACTGGCAACAGTGTTGCCAGTATTACTGTAAAAAACCTGGTAAGGTCAAACAGTGTATGTTCAGAATTGAAACTGATCCAGGAGCTCAAGAATCCCTCTACAAACCCCTACACGACCCGACAAGCAAAGCCAGAACAGCTACAGCAATCGTATTTGATGTCATAAAAGTAGAAGCAAGAGACTTTAAACAAGCAGACAAAAAATAAATTAAATATTCAGGCAATATACCGGAGTCTGACAGAAACAGATCCTCAGGGCATACCTCTTCATGTTCTCGTACTTGCAGAGTCTGAGCCAAAATACTAGAAATACTAGATTTAATCTAGATCAGCCATGAATTCATGAATGCATAAATACATTTGTGAAATAGTAATTAGTGGATGGATATCAATTAACTTGATGCCACAGTAGCCTATTTAGTAAACCACATATTTCACATTTCTGACGTTTTCTTTGTTTTGTTTTTATTAAATTCACTAAAATATATATATTCTGTCATTTTCTCATCCTCGTGTTGTTCCAAGCCTTCTTTCTTCTCCACAGAAAACAAAAAAGAGATAGGCTGGTGACAGTCTCAGTCACCATTTAACCACATTCAGACAGCTAAAAACGTCATAGACTTCACTTGATTCCCAGAACTGAATCATGAGGAATAATGTCCATAAGCTCCATATAAACCAGTATTGAAGAAACAAAATGAAAACCAATAAAAACTTCTCCACAAAATTCTAATTTCTTTCCTTTCTCTTGTTGTATGTAACGCCAGGAACTTTCCTGCTGGAGATCTAGAAGTGTCTGTTTTGGAGTGATTCGGCAATCAAAGTGTCTGATGAAGCCCGCGTGTCTTACCTGTTGGCCCCTCTAGACTTTCCGCACAGACCCTGGCGAGGAGAAACAGCAGAACAGCAGAGATGTTCATGGTAGCGTGGTTTAGTCCAGCCGGTCGGCGAGTGTGGTAACTAACCGTGTGGTAAATATCCTGCCGCTGCGCCACTGAGTTTCATCCGGAGACGCGCAGCTCAAACCCCAGATCTGCCCGCTGACGTCACCACAAACTATTAAACCCCCAGTTCCAACTCCAGAGATGAACCCCGAGAGCAGAGCAGAGGAAGGGCTACGGCGCCTCTCTGTGGTGATCCAACAAAAAACATCAGTCAAAGCTTGAAAACATACATTTCACTTCTCATTTCCTAGTCTGAGTGAGAATTCTTAATTCTTGTTGCAATAAAACAAAATGAAATCTAAAAATAAAAACAATTAAGGTTAAAGAAATGAGACAACATGATTAGCAGTTCGTTGTAAAACAAACTTTGTCTTTTTTTTTTCTTTGAAAGAGAGCATAAGAAAAACTGCAGCATAAAAAAGTGAAAATATCACTAAATCACAAAATAAAATGGCAACATAATGCGGCATTCAAGATTTCTATCAGAGAGTTTTATCCGAGTAAAACCAGGCAAGAGGAAAATATTTATAAACCAATTTAAGAGTGCTTGTACACAAAGTTAAAATCTGCAGGAGTGGGATTGAACAAGTCAATTCTTCACCGATCTCCTCTCAATGCAGTAAATAACCCTCTTCTTGTGCTCTCAGAGCCATTTTCACCGCATGGGTCGTCGACTGCAGTGATTGAGCACCCTCGCAGTAGGAGAAGGATTTCTGAAAAGCTACAAGAATAAAGTTATTTGTAAAAATGAGCTTGTCAGGCTGTAAAACGTATATTTGATCATACCTGGAAAATAACAAAAATAACCAGAAGTGTTGATGCTTCTCCTCCTGGAGATCAAGAGATCCATCCATATGGTTTATGTCCAACACACCTGCTTCAAATCACTCCAGCCAGAAAAGAGCCATTACAGCTGTCTGATTAATGCTCAAAATAGCCCCACACTAACACAGAAGCATTGAGAACTTTGACCGTTTAATAAGAAGATACTTTATAAACACAGTTCACTTCAGGAGCCATCTTAGAAAATAGTCTTGATAAGTCGATCCCTGAACGCAGATCACTCAGCACGACGTTTGTGGTTCGACTAGTTGAGACTGTTTTCCAAGTGAACTGTCATCTTCTTATTAAACGGGCTGTACACTTACAAAGTTCTCAATGTTTTGCATGTACGGACCCTCATTATGTTTCTGTGTGAGTGTGGGGCTATTTTGAGTCTTGTTAGTGGTATAAACTAGCGATTTCTTTTTACTTAGTCAATGCCCCCAGTACTAGCGTTATACGCTAAACCGCTTTTAGAGGTAAAACTCTTTACATTTGATTATCATGAAAACAAATCTCAGAGAACGGTTGACGAGGTATCGATGTTTTATTAGACCAAAGGTTCATTTTGCGTCGGAGTTCTCCTTTAACTGGTGAAATATTGAATTATATCAAAATGATGTTGCTTGAAAACAGTTATTTAGTCAGAATACACACTTTTAGCATGTGAGAAAAACTGCACAGTTCATGTGTGGAGTAGCCCACTCATCACTTTAGTATATATTCCACAGGAGGGCCACAACATCATTAAGGACAACATCCATAACACGATCTCCTCACACTGCTGCCGTCTGGGAGATGATGACACAGGAGTGAGAAATCAAGGACCATTAGACTCCTGAACAACACATGAAACACTAACTCCCCGTTTTATTCACTGACTGTCACCTTGATTGTTGCACAATGCACATTTGCACTTTGTTTTGATATATATTTGCATATTTAGTCTGTATTTTATACTATAGTGTCTATTTTTTGTGTAAGGTCAAAACCATTGTGTATTTTTATTGTGCGCATGACAATAAATCTCTTGAATTTAAAATGCCAATCAATGAAGAAAGATGCTCTCGCTCAGAAGGGTGTAGTTTCAGCATCTACCAGTAGGGGCTAACGTACCAGTAGGGGCTACCAGTCAAAGCTAGCCAAACCCTATTAACTTGCTCTTTTTAGGTTCCTCTGCTGGGAAAGATCAGCTCTACAGCAAAATATTAATTGTTTATTTTTCTAATATAGAAAGACATTATTTATTGCATTCATTATCAGAATAAAACATGTTGAGTAACCTCTGAGAAGCCTATTCGTGTCTTGTAATTTTAGCAATTTTCTATCCATAGAGAGGAGGCATAGCCTACTTTAATTGAATTGAAATTAATAAGGCATCTTTGAATAAACTTTGAGTATCTGTTCGAGTGTCCTGGTTTTATGGTAATTAAATATGGTCACCCTACTTAAATGTGTACGGAGGTGTATTGCATTCACTTGAAGAAAAAAAAAACTACTCTGTTTTTCTGAATTAATGAGTTAATTTTTCACGAGAAAAAAAGTTTTTGCTCTGTTTTTCTGAATTAATGAGTTAATTTTTCATGGAAATTTTTGGGGTTTTTTTGCTGTGTTTTTCTGAATTAATGAGTTAATTTTTCATGAGAAAAAAATATTTTGCTCTGTTTTTCTGAATTAATGTGTTAATTTTTCATAAGGAAAAAATATTCTGCTCTGTTGTTCTGAATTAACGAGTTATTTTTTCATGGATTTTTTTTTTGCTCTGTTTTTCTGAATTAACGAGTTCATTTTTCATGGATTTTTTTTTTTTTTTTTTTTTGCTGTGTTTTTCTGAATTAATGAGTTAATTTTTCATGAGGAAAAAAATATTCTCCTCTGTTTTTCTGAATTAACGAGTTAATTTTTCATGGATTTTTTTTGCTCTGTTTTTCTGAATTAACGAGTTAATTTTTCATGGAATTTTTTTTTTGCTCTGTTTTTCTGAATTAACTCGTTAATTCAGAAAAACAGAGCAAAAACTTTTTTTCTCATAAAAAATTAACTCATTAATTCAGAAAAACAGAGCAAAAACTTTTTCTCATGAAAAATTAACTCATTAATTCAGAAAAACAGAGTAGATTTTTTTTCTTCAAGTGAATGCAATACGCCTCCGTTCAAATTAGCCTATTTCTGGGTATCATAAGTACATTTAATTTTGTTTTGGCAGGCACTCATCAAGTTTGTCTCGTTCAGGCTAGATAATGTCCCTGGCAGTGTGTATTCCTGGTTTTAAACAGATCTGCTGAGAGCTTGTCTTTTTTCCTTCTGTTGATGGCTTAGGGCTTCTTTGTTGCTCTTTAACATTATGCGCTGATCCAGGTACAAACACAGTAGTTAAAAACGATTTAGCGATTAAAAGGGAGAAGAAAACAGCTTTTGACATTTTGTTGTCTGGCATCTCAGTTTCGCTTCACAGAAATACGTGTTCTCGCACATCAGCTCTCGAAAAATGAAAAATGCCACCAGAGGCATGTTTGTGTTAAATGCCGCAAAGCACAATATCATTTCAAGGTTGACTTTAGCCTGATATTTGGCCGATTACCACAAATTAATAAGGCATATTTTGAGGACGGTCTGAAGTCATGCCTGAAATGCTCTTTAACTAAAAATTGGTTGCTGCAAATCCCATTAATATTACAATTTAATTACTTCTACAATCAACACTGATTCATGATTGACTAAAATCACCTAATCAATTTAGATCCAGTGTGGCCCCCAATTCATATTTAATTATACAGCCTGAGCCTTTATTCCCCAGCTTTAGTTCTCAATGATGCTAAACAAAGAAGACTTGGATGGGTGGGTGGCACACTTATCTATGCAGCACCATGGATGGAAATTCAGAGATTCACATCTTGCTGAAGGCATTTCCTCTGACTGGTGTCATTAGGCCCGTCTGCATGGCGTATGCTGTCGGCTCCAACAATGTGTTGTGGTTCCCCCATATATTGCCTATAAATAGGAGAGAATTTGAGAATTTGCAGGAGAGAAAAAAACAGCGTTTTCTACACAATCTAAGGGTGAATTGTTGTAATATTTAAATTACAGTAATTATTAAAACATTCGGACAAATAAAACTTCACATCTTTGTGAAACTCAAAGGTTGCACTGTAAAAAATATTTTCAAGATTTGTTATCACAACATATTTTCTTTTGTCAAATCAACTTTATAATAATGTATTTAGTTTAGATAACTTTAAAATTAATTAATTAATTAAATTAATCTTTTTCATTGTATTAACTCACTTTGCACTTCAATCAACTTAAAATTTTAAGGCAACCCAGGTTACTTACTTTTTTAAGTTAAACCAACAATATTTTTTTACAGTGTAGTAATCACAACATTTTTTCTTTTGTCAAATCAACTTAAATAATTGATTCAGTTCAGATAACATATAATTTTGAGTTTCTGATGATTAAATTAATCTCCTTCATTGTATTAACTCACTTTTTCCAGTTCAATCAACTTAAAATTTTAAGGCAACCAGGTTACTTACTTTTTTAAGTCAAATCATCAATATTTTTTTACAGTGAAACTCCAAAATTCCTTAAAAGTTCATCAAAAAAACGACTCTCGTTTAAATACCAACCCGTGGCTTTATTTTGCAAAACACTTAAGATACTGTATCTTAAGAATAATTTGAATACCCCATGAGCTGCTGAGTCCTGTGTTGAATACTACCTTGACCGTGGCATGTCAGAGTGAATGCTGGGAAAACGCTCAGTAAAATATGCTGAACTTTTGTATGAAATCCTGCACTCACACATAACCGCAGAGTTTATGGGCACGACAGCATTAACATAAATGTGAATTCATGCATATTGCAAATCATGGCCAGCAAGTTATGGGAATAATCAACGTGCATCAATTGCATTGGCGCCATCTGGATGAATTTAGAGCGCTCGCTTCCACTGAATAGATTTGCACAATAACACAATACAAGGTGGAATAGGTTAATGAGCTATATAGGATTCAGAATTTTGTATGGCGTGGCACGTGCTCAGAGCTATTTCTCCCAGAGAAGTCACATTGCAGAAATTTTGTTTGCCAATATCAATTTTTCAATCACTTCTAGTTCTGCTTGATGGAACAGAAGAATCTAAATCCACTCAGCGCGGGTGAGTAAATGCTATTCAGACGCTTAATTACAGTTTCGTTTTGCTCCATCCCCAGAGCACGACTCTTCTTACAGCCGTAACAATTACATTTAGAGCGCTGGAAACAATGTCAGGACAGTTTAGGATCCTCAAGACTGGTTAGACATGATGATGCATTAGGAATAACCAAGTTATGACGATGGATTTTAATGTACAGTATCGTTCACCCCCAAAAAAAGTA